CACCTCGCGAGACACTCCAGCGCAGGCAGGACAGGCTGGTGTCCTGAGCAGGAGAGCTCCGCGGGACGGAGGTGCCTCTCCGCTCCGGCTCCAAGCGACCTGGGGTGGGAGAAGGCCTTGCAGGCAGGATCGGACTGCAAAGTGGGCAGCCGGTCCAGGCTGAGCCCCTCATCACAGAGCCCAGAGTCCTGCGTCACTGCCCGGAGCTCTTCAGGTCCCACACGGTGCTTGCAGAAACCCTGGTCCCCAGCGCTACGGTGGTGTCAGGAAATTGAGGACAGCAGTGATGAATTCTTCAAATTTATCCTGATGGACTATGTGGCCTGCACCTTCAATGTACTGGACATCCGCCTTGGGGAAGAGGCGCTGGATCTCCGGGTAGTCTTTGGAGCTGCAGGACAAGAGAACACAGCATGGGAAGCGTGGTCAGAGGTCCATCCAGGTGTCTTCCCTCACCTTCCCCAGGCAGAGAGGGATGGGAGGTCTGACCACGTCCCCTTCCCTGCCGGGAAAGCCCAGGGCTGCCCCTGGGTTCCCCCTCGCTCCCCAGCGTGCTGGTGTCACCAGCTGCTGGAGGCACAGAGCTCGCTCCAGGACCTTGCCCATCTCAGGGGCTCCCTCCCACCCTCTGCAGCTGCAGACAAACACAAGGGGTCAGACCACAGACTTCGAACCGCTTCTCTCCAGTCCCACCTGATGTAGGGTGAGTTGGATCCTCCCAAGAAGAGTGCAGGGCCAGGATACGGCTTGTGGAAGACAGGGAAGTTCATGATGTCTGCCAAATGGTGGGAAATAGCCTCCAGGTTCACCCGCCAGATGTAGCGGCCCTCCACCTCCACCAGGTTGGTGAGAAGGAACTGTCTCAGCTGTGGGAGCTGTCACAAAAGGGGATCATACACTCTTTACTAAAAGCAACAAGCTCTCAAGTCGTCCTGGCACCCTCCGTCCTCCCCTCCACCCCCTTCTGCCCATCTCCCATGCTGTCACATTCTCCATCGCCCCTGCAGCCCTGGTGAGATGTCCTCCAGCTGCCCAGGACAGTGGTGAGTGAGCAGGGGTGGAAAGAGTCTCGTGGCTCTAAAGCCCTGTGCTCTGGTCCCAGGGACAGGCTGGGAGCAGAAACCCCATCCAAGGAGCGGGATTTCCTACCTGGACCACCGGACGCAGCTGATCGTCAGCCAGCTGGCGGGCTGCAGAGCGGGGCAGACCATCTGGGATCTTCACCGCCTTCATGGCAGAGATGTAGGCAGAGAATTCGGAGACAGGTGTGGTTGAGACAGGACTGATGTCTACAGAGATGAGGCGCTCCACCAGGTCTGGCTGGGGACACAAGCAGGGCAGATAGATGCCAGCCGAGATCTCCCCAGTGGGACAGGGGACAGGGCTCCGCTCCCACCCAGACTCCCTGGAGGCTTTTCGCTCCCTCCTGCCTCCGCAGAGAGCTCCACATGCCTTTCCCCGAGCCCCTGTGTCTTGGCACAGGAGACCTCCAAGCTCCCTCGCCATCAGTGCCGGAGGGACGGGGC